TTCAGAGAATAATAGAGTGATATTTTGAAACTCTTTTAACCAATCCTCTAAGCTATTATTCTCCTTTATCTCCTGGTTAAAACTCCTTTCATTGGGCTTTCTCATACCTTTACAGCTTTCTTCTACCCATTTATTTCTCTGACTCTCTAGCAATTTTTTTCTTCCCCACGTTCTCTAGTTACTGTAGTGGGTGTGTTCTGACTATCTTGCGAGCTTATATATATGCAACTACCTTTAACATGTCTCATCTTATTCCAAACCTCTTTTTCAACCCCAGACATCTCTCTGCACTCAAAAGGGATATACATTTGTTTGTGGACATTTCTATCTATAAAGAATCTTTTAGGGGATTCTGAAATTATTGGTTCTTCTTTTACTGCATTACAAGATTGTTGTAAAGAAAAAAAATCATTTTCTTGTTCTGGTTTAAAACTCCTTTTCTGAGACTTTATTATATCTATATCTCCTGCAAGTTCAGGTGATTGACTGGCACTTATAACTTCCTTGGGAACCTCACTATTTCCCTAAAGATTTTCTATCTTTTCTGTCTGAGTGTGTGGTGATTTTAACAGTCTTGATATAATTAATCAAATCTAAACCAATTAAACAAGGCATATGGATCTGATTTGAAACAGCTATTTTAAATTTACCAGCCCAATCTTTATACCTTATATGCACCTTAGCCATGGGTAACTTAATTAATTCTGTCTCAATTCCTTTAACTGAAATTTTCTCATTTGTAATGGTATCTTTCTGTGGAATAATATCTGCATGGCATATAGTTATCTGAGAACAAGAGTCTGTCAATGCTAGGTATTTGATATTATTAATGTAAATATTTTCTCCAGATGACTTCCTCAATTCCCTGTTGGTTTTAATGCAATAACAGTGGACAATTTCTGCTAGAGGAGGCAGTTGTTCCTGTGTTACAGTTTTGTCAGTTAAATCACCACCATCTTGGCTTACTTTAGAATCCTCATCCTGCTTTTGGATATAGTACATCTTTTTAGGTACAAATCCCACTATTTTCTGTTGTATTTCTTTGTTTTTAATAAATTCACAATTTGAGACATAATGACCTGGTTTCCCACAAGCAAAACAAGTTTTTAAATTTCTTTGTTCATTTAAAGGGGTTCTGTCTCCCTGCCCTTCAAAGCTTTTGCCCTTCTGTTGGTACTGCTCTGAGGGTCTTTCTCTAAAATGGCTTCCAACTGTCAGTTGATCTTTGAGGCACTCTCTGGGTTCTGTCTTTCTCTCATCCAAATCTGTCCCTCCAATTTTTTCCTCAGAATAATTTGAGTTTCTTACTTCTTTTATATATTCAGCTGTTTTTGATATATTCCCCTCAGAATTTGAATCATTATTATAGTTTTGGATTTGTAATTTAATTGTTTCATTTTTAATTGGTGTTGTCTCGTTCCCTCATTTCCCTCTGTCTGGCTTCAGCCCTTTTTCATATTCTTTCTCGTTCCATGGCCATCTCACTTTCTCTGGCCTCTGCCTTTTCCTTTCTAATTGTTTTAACTGGAATTCATATTCTTTCTCTTATTTTCCTTTTTAGAAACTCTAGGGAGTTTTCTCTCCATGAGGCACCCTCCTGTTCCTTTGGGTCCTCATATTCCTGGCCCTCTTGGTCTGAAATTTCCCTTCCTGAGGTAAAATCTGACTCTCAGCAAGTTCCATAACTGTCTTCTTCCCTTTCTTGGAAGGCATACTTAACAGTTTATATTTAATATCAAATTAGTAGGCTGCTTTCTCACCAATTCCAATATGCAAGCCTCTGTTTAAAATGACCTCTTTTTTTCTGTGTTAGAGATTTAAACTATGTAGCTTTCTTTTGGCAGCTTAAGATCGCTACGTTGTATCTTTGGGCTTCAGCCTTCGCTGTTCCTTGTGTTTGTTACTTTGTATCTTGGCTTCCACTTTTAGGTTCCCTCAGTGCTCCCTTTCTCACAGCTTTGGGATCTAAAGCTAGCCCTCTTGGTCCTCGCACTCTCAGCTTGAGGTAAACTTTCAACTACAGTATAGAAATCTCAGAGTCCTTTTGCCGCCTTTGTCTTTCCACACTTTCAGGAGTCCCTATCAAGCTATTCGCCTTACTCTTTAGGGTTTCCTACTCCTGAACTATTGACAACCAGGTCTCTTAGAATCAGAGAATTTCTTTTTCATTCGTGGCCAACCTAATAAATCTCACTTTATTTTGGCTCACTGGATTTCATTCGAATCCCACCTGCTGCTCACCACTTTATGTCACACACACCCAGCTCCCGTTTGTTCTTCCACACAACCCAGGTTCACTTTTGGGCATGACATTTATTTCTCAACTCTTTTCCGCTGCCACCAGAGGAGATATTCCTCTATTAAATATGAGTCTTCAATCAGTGTTATTCAATAAAACAATGTTTATTTAAGTGTTTATTAGTAAATCAAGTAAAGTGAATCATGGATGGTCTTATTTTATTCATTCAAGAAATTGTGCTTTGGTAACATATTTGCTTAGGCAGAATAATTTAAATCAAGGTATTTATTCATTTCTTTTCACTTCTAATTCTTTCCAATCATAACCATAAACCATACAATATCTGTACTTTCTTTGTCTTAGTCTCTATCTCTCCATTACTCTTCTCTAACACAAGGCTGGCCCTAATTGCCTAAACTGCTTCTCTCTAACTGAAGTCCTTAACTCATCCCTAACTGATACCTAACTCAGCCTCTAACTGCTCTTTAACTGTCATCCATTCTCTTATATATCCTTAGTCCCACCTCTTCTGTTCACCCATTGGTTGATATATCAGGGTTCTATTGTGATGGACAGGAGTGGTTACTGACCTGTCTGTCATAGTGGTCTATAAAGCTATCACCTACTACTTATTTGGGAGGTTATTGGGCATCAATTAAATCCTCTGATAGTTTATTGGGAGTTTAGGTGTAGGGCTTTTTGCTTTGGTCTTTCTAGAATCAAAGTAACATCATCAATGTAGCCAACAAGTCAATTGGGCTGTATTTTAATTTAACCAAGTTTTTAGTAGGCATTCATAGCACCTACTTTCCATTTACACCACTTTTCTTTGAAGTTCATCATAAGGTGGGTGGATAATCAGAAATAGCAATAATAAAGTTCTTTTTTCCACACACCCTGTGTTCAGAATTGGACTCAGCGATTTGCTGGAGCTCAAGATTCAGTTAGGTACTTGTATGTTAAAGAAATTATGAAGAATGGCTTGTACAGTGCAAGGTACAGGTAGTTGGCTCCATCTAGGAGTCAGAAACCTGATTATCTCCTCTAAGGTAAAGGAGGAGCACTGAAGAAATTTATAGTGCTCTATTTGGCAAGTTTACTCAGAATTAAGTTTCACTGTGTCCAATGGCATTTACTCTCATGTCAGTGAACAGAACAGGTGCTGAGGTGCAACTCCTCACTGCCCTGGTCAGTCTAGTCTCACACTATCTGGAGACAGTAATGTAGCTGCAAACTCAGAAGTGCAGGGTCTCCCCAGGAGACTTAAAACATTTGCACACCCTCTTTCCATGTGTATGCCCTTCCTTTAGGTGCCGCCTTATTGAACATAATGAACTGGGGCAGGCAGGAATTCATGGGGAGGAAAGGAAGAAGGTACCATCCAGAGACTAGACCTGCCCCATTCTTTCTTACATACCTTGTGAAATCCAGATGCAGTGACAACTGCTGGGGCTTTCCTATGATGCCCCCAAACCCAGCATATCTACCCCACTCTCTATTTTGACCTCAGTGACAGGACATGAGAGAACATCCACCCACCGAGTTCTGAGGGAGAAGGTGAGACATTTTTGAAGGAGCCTAATGAACAAGTAGCAGGATAGTTCCTTTTTTGGGTTTAAAGTGACACTACCACACATGCAGGCAAAGGTTAGGGTGCAAAAAGCCAAATGGCATCCAAGCCATTCTAGGCAAGCAAGTGAAAGGATGATCTGGCTTCTACTGCCTTGGACAGAGCATGAGCAGCACGCAATAGATGGAGTGATCCGACAGAGCCAACAAGAAGTGAATGCAAGATCCTGGCTTCAGCAGAACTGCTTGTGCTTCAACCCCCTGGGGGGCGGGGGGCAGGACCACACTACTGTCTGGTGCTGTAAGCTGCTCACTCCAGGTTTACAGGTTTGCATCCTTCATTAGCTATTTGTATTTTGCAATAGTTAATATGGGAATCAGTATTTTAAAAATGAAGCATTTCCATACATTATAACCTTTTTCTGTATAGCAAGTATTCACAAGACGCAAGCACAGCCTTTGATGAAACGATCAGCTTACAATAGTGCCAACCTGAATTTTTATGTCTGTGTTAGCTACATCACCTGCAGCATAATCAGTGTCCAAAGCTCAGAATGCACAACCATGCCCCTGCCTCAGATTTATTTTTGAAGCACTAATGCTTTCATTTCTCAATTGGATTGTGCTGTAACTACTGTATTTTTCCATGTATAAGACACCACTTTTTCCTAAAATAACTACCCTAAAAATTGACAGGTATCTTTTACACGGAACTAAGCTGAGACAGCTGAGGAGGGAACAAAATGGCACATACCTTGCCTCTGTAAACAGACTCCCTTCAGTCACGAGGCTTAGTTTCCTACAGTCAGGAGACTTATGGAACTGATGTCAGCTCATCCTGAAGAAATCAACTAGAACACTTCATTGGAGGTGGAGCCTGTAAGCTCAAATGCAACAGGGACTCCTAATGTCCGATGTTCTGAGCCCAGAGGCTGAATCATCAAAGCTAAGTTTTCCTAATTTTGGAGTTAGAAAAACAGTGGGGAACAGGCGTCTTGTAAATGGAAAAATAAGGCATACAGGCTGTATTCTATTAGGCTTAAACTTGGCCTGATTTTGTTTGCCCCAGCAACAAATCACTGCTGCCATTTTCAGATCAGAAACATTTTGTATGAGAAGCATTCTCTAGCTAATGGATCTGTTCATGACTGATTCATTTCTACTTCTCTGGAAATACTCCAGAGCCTAGAAGTACTGATAAATCTCCAAGCCTCCACATCTTTATTTTAGATTTATGCAAGATTATGTTCCCACAATGCGATTTGCTTATTGTCATAAAAATAAGCTGCTGATTGTTGATCAGTGATGCTACAAAATCTATCCCAAGGCATGAAGGGTTGCAGTCTTCCGAATAAGTCGCTCTGTCAATGGCGAATTTGGTCTCAGTTCATCACGTTCAATAAGGAGGCACCTAGAGGAGAAGAAAATGATTATTACCTCAAAGCAGCTATACAGTGGTGCCCCGCATAGCGAGGTTAATCCGTTCCGGATTAACCTTCGCTATGCGAAAACATCGCTGTACGGGGCAGGAAAAGCCTATTGGAATTAAACTTAAGTTTAATGCATTCCAATAGGCGCCAAAACTTACCCCTCCAGCGATGTTTTCGCGGTCCGGCGGCCATTTTGGAGCCGCCGATCAGCTGTTTGGCGGCTCCAAAACAGCCGCCGGACGCCCCAATCGTCGCAAAGCGAGTGCGGCGATTGGGGCAGCTCCGTATAGCGATCCCCAAAAAGGGATCGCTATACGGATTCTTCGTTATACGGTGCGCTCATTAAGCGAGGCACCACTGTATTTGGATACAATAATTGAATTTCAGAATGTCAATAGGCTTTCTGGAGCAATCATGCCAAAAGTAGTGCTACTTTATTTTCCATTTTTCACTTTCCATTTAAAACTAACAATTTATGAGAAAAAACAAAAGTGAATGAACCAGACACTTTTTATAGCATCAAAGTTAGCACAGATCATCAGCAACCGTCAAATCAAAACCGACTTACAGTGACCATAAAAGGGTTTTCAAGGTGAATGAGATATTTAAGGAGTAGCTTTACTACTACTACCCCCTACAGAGCTTCCATGCCTGAGTGGGGAACCCAAGACTCCTGAATCCTAGTCCATCACTCTATCCACTATACCCCTCTGGGTATCGAGCACAGAAGACAACACAAGCAGCAAGAAAACCTGACGTGAGACTTTGTGAAGTAAAGACAAGCAGGGGCCACAAGGACGAACCCCACAATTGGTGCCCAGCGGGGGATACGAGATAATCCAGTAAAGCCAACGTTTTAAATTTTCTGGAGTTGTGGATACATTTTAGTCAAAGGTCTGTCGTGAAGAAGTGGGTGACCTGCTAGAGCTTTTATGGAAAAGCTTAGTGGCAGGGCTTCTGAACCCAGATCTGGGGGAACTAAAGATAGGGAATGGACTCTAAAGCAAAAATTCTTTTTTTACCGCAGGATTTGAAAGACCCAGTGGGCTAGCTTAAAATCCAAGGCTCTAAGAGATAAGGGAGTGTGGGTGGATAGAAAGTGGAAGCAAGGGTCAGAGCGGATCTGAGGTGATAGGAAAATAAAAAGCAGAGGCTTGAAAATAGAATTTGTTTTGTTTTTGGAGGTTAGAAGGTTGTCTCAGACCAAGACACATTGTGGCTTGTGTGTGAGACCAGAGAAAATGTAGCCATCTTTAGCTGCCAAGTGAGAGCTACATAGTACCCCAGAAAATACTGAAAAAGGAAAACAGCAGTAAAAGTGTTTTAAAAAGAGGCCTGACTAACACAGCAATAGAAATCAGTTCCTTTTATTAAGAAAGTACATACTTATGCCACCCAAAAGAACTAAAAAGCCAGTAATGGAGGAAATTGATCCTCAAGAGGCACAAAGAACGGGAGGAGACTGATGAGGGTGGCTCAGAGAGAGAAAGGGTTCTAAACTCTCCATATTTTGAAAAATGGAAACTAGAACAAGAATTTAAATTGAAGGAGCTAGCAATGAAAACCCAGTTACAGGAGCTAGCTATGAAAACCCATTAGAGGAATTAGAAATCAAAGCCAGGGCTGAAGAGAAAGCTCAGGAACTACAACTCAGAGCTGAGCAAAAGGCCAGACAAATAGCATTTGAGCATGAAAAAAGACGAATGGAATTTCAAATAGAGATGAAAAAATTGGAAGTTGCTGCTCAAAACAATATAGTAATAACAACTCTAGTGAGGGAAATCTCAAAAATTGACATAAAGAAATTTCACTGATATAGGAAAGGAGATTGCCCTGAATCTTTCCTCATTTCATTTGAGAGTGTGTGCTGGGACTTTGAGATTAAGGATGATAGTGTTGAGACCACAAATAAGTGGAGATTTAGATCAACTTTATTCTCAAGATGCCTCTGCAGCAAGCTAGAGATTTTGAGGTCCATAGAAAAATGGTACATTCTAGATTTGGCACAAATGCAGAACACCTTAGAAGGAAATGTCGTTCCCTTACCAAAAAGCCTGAAGAATCTTATGCCCAAGTGGGGGCTAAATTGAGTTAATGTTTGGACAAATGGATGGAATGTGAGAAAGTCACTTCTCTAGACCAAATGAAAAATGTAACTGATTTAGAACAATTTTATTTAGTATTGCTAGGGGAATTGCACTATTTGGTGAAGGACAAAAATCCTAAAAATATATTACAGGCATCTGAATACACTGATTCCATTGGTGAGATTAGAGATCCTTGATTTTCTGAGGTAAAAACTGGTAGAAAACTGAGACGACAGGAGGAGAGGATCCTCATCTGGTAGAGATTACCTCAGAAGTACCCAAACTACTGGAAGCCATTTTGGAGACAGACCCTTATCTCCAGAACACAAGTCATCTGAAACCTAATAGTCCTGAGGGAAAAGTTAATAAGGCCCTTTGTTTTGAACCCAAGGTCAGTAGACAGTATTATACCTGTGGGGAGAAAGGTCAAAAGATTAGGGATGTTAGCTAGCATAAAGTTAGAGATTCTAGTCCCCCTAAGAAGGTGTTTTGTGTACAGCATAATAAAACAACTAGTGCAGCAGTAGAAGCTAGCTGTGGAGCTGTTGCCATAGCAACACAAGTAACTCTAGCCGCCTAGAGTGGTCCGAGCTGACTAGATAGGCGGGATATTAAATAAATAAATAAATAAAATAAATAAACAGAACGGTCAGAGAGCCAAGATCCCCCCATGGTCAGGGTTGATCAGTGCTTTCTGATAGAAAGGAATCAGAATCTTCTACGTAGCTCAGGAGATGTTATCTATGTTGATAATAATAAGTATGTAGCACTCAAAGATTCTAGTTCACAAGTTACAATATGTCACCCTGATATAGTCCCTAAGTAGAATATGTTACACCATGAAAATATTTCTATTAAAGGGATTGGTTCTGAAATCGTGGTGCTGCCCATGGCAAAAATGTCAATGAGATATAAGCGATGGTCAGGAGTTTGGAAGGTGACCAGATATAAGGGATGGTCAGGAGTTTGGAAGGTGACAATATCTGATCAAATTCCTGACCCGTGTTTAATAGGTCTGGATTTAGCTGAGCATGTGCAGAGTGTTTTTATGACAATTCGCTCTCAGGGAAGGCAAATTGAAGCCACTGAGGGAAATGATGTAAATCTCTATGTGCACGTGAGCCATAAATCACTGGATCGCTACCCCCAGCAGCCAACCTGAGGAGGCAGCTGCAGCCACAGTGCTAGTGCCGTGACAGGCCCTGAGGAGGCAGCTGCAGCCACAGTGCTAATGCCGTGACAGGCGGCAGCGGGCCAGGATCTGGAGCAGCTGGTGCTGGGACAGCCAATCTATAGGCAGTGATGCTGGTGCTGGGACAGCCAATCTATAGGCAGCGATGGAGTTGGGCACGACTGGAGGCACCGCTGTGCTCGGGATTCCCCCTTCTGCCGTCACCAGGCACCTCTGTGCTCAGGATTCCCCCTTCTGCCGTCACTTCCTCTTCCGCCGCCGCCTGTTGCCCACTGGGTTGTTTTTTTTCTTTTCAGTCTGGGCACTCAGCCTCAAAAAGGTTCACCATCACTGGCCTACAGCCTGATCAGACATTTCACAGCCAACACTAACTTAAACTATGCAAATGCACTCCTGGCCACCACCAATACCTGAGCATCCAGGCTCAGGGATGAATCCAGGAACACACCACAACTGTCAACATGACTTTCCAAGTGTAACTCTGCCCAACACAGGCTTGTTCTCTGATCTGCCTTTCAACTGACAAAGAGCACATCTAGCATGCCTGGATTTAGTTTCAGTTTGTTTGTCCGCATCCAGTCCATTACTGACGTCAGATACTGGTTTAGGCCTATAACAGATTCCATGGAGTCATAAAGAAAGAATAGACAGAGTTGGGTGTCATCAGCATATTGTTGGCACTGAATCCCAAAAATCTGGACAACCAGCAGTTTCATATAGGTGTTAGAAAGAACTGGGGACAAAACAACTCTGAGGGGCCACACAAGCCAGAATGTCAACCTGCAACATCACTTTCTGAGCTCAGTTTTCTAGGAAAGATTGGAATTACCTCCAAGACCCATCCCACAGTGACAGCCCAGAAAGATACCAGGGTTGATGGTATCAAAAGCTACCAAGAGGTCCATCAGACCAACATTGACATTCTCTTCTAATACAGTTTCTGGTGCAGGTCAATCATGAAAGTGATCAAAACTATATTCCATAAACAGGCCTGAAGCCAGACTGAATGGATCTAGAGAATCTGCTTCATCCAGCAACCACTGGAGCTCGGAAGCCATCGCATGATCCAGTATCTTATTCAAAATGGAACGTTAGAGACTGGCCAACAGTTATCCAGTGCAGTGGGACTTAAGGAGAGCATTTAAGAACAATGATCTTACTACTATTTCTTTTAAGCCTGCGGACACCCTGTTTTGCTGCAAGGAGACAGACATTCATCACTCCCCCTTACACACACATCCAATTCCCCTTTAGCCTGGAAGGGAAAACATAGGACACACATGGTGGCTCTCACCTCTCCAAGCGTCCTGTCTGCATCCTCAAACTGTGACCTATCAATTTTTATAGGGGTCAAGTCACATCCGTAGAACCTGTGTCAATTATATCATCTAGAGTGCAACCACATACGTAGTGAAAGAAACACAACTTAACTCGCATTCTCTTGCTGGGAGGTGGCAGCAGGGGATTCACATCTCATCCATTTAAGTGGCCACACTGCCAGAGGAATAAAAGCCTTGTAACTGCAGTTCTATCAAAGCACCTGTAGGTGGCACGGTGCAAAAAGATGACCCTAAGGCGAGTTTTCCTGCCTCAAGCACCTGTAGGTGGCACGGTGCAAAAAGACGACCTTAAGGCGAGTTTTCCTGCCTCAGTGATTCTATTTCCTCATCTTATCTTGCCGATGGGAAAGCTCCTTACACTGTAAATTAGTAATAATTAATAAGGAGCTCTGCCTATCCAGGAGAAGCCATAAAAAGAAGAAGTGTTTTGAGAGAGGGGTTTTACCAAAAGAGACGTGAGTGCTGGCACTGCTTGTAGGTGCCTGCACACTCTCCTAATCCTCCCTTGTGAGGCAAGGGGGAAGGCATTTTGCAAAAGCACCACTTTTTCCTTTTCTGCATTGGTTCAAAGTGATCACATGCTTTGAACTAAAGCAAAAGGATGTGACTTTTCAAAAAGTAGAAGGATCTCTGGTAAAGGAAAAACTATGGGTTGGGGCTGTGGGCCTCTGGGCAGATTCACATTTCCTGTTGCATCATATGGTCACCAGGAAAAAACAGCACTCAGCCTGCACCAAACCTATAGTAGTTCCTGCACCCCCACTCCATCCCCCAACCATGTAGTCAGGCTCTAAGTTAGAGTGGATCCAAGTGACTTTGTCTGCAACATGCTTTGTAAAACGTTCACAGCAGGCTATCAAGTGTTCAGCATCCCTTTTCTCCCAAGTGCACTATAGATAAAAATATATTAGGATGGAAACACACACACATACACACTTCCCACTAAACACGTAGAGTCCCATAAAGTAATGTGGGCACATTTTTGCAGGAACACTCCAAGTGACTTTGTCTGCAACATGCTTTGTAAAACGTTCACAGCAGGCTATCAAGTGTTCAGCATCCCTTTCCTCCCAAGTGCTTCCTATCTTGTCACTTATTCCCCTCACAAAGGGGGTAAGCATCTGTTTTATCTCTGTGCTAGCAGAACATGCAGCATTCAGTGAAATATAATGAGAGAAAATGCCACCTATGCATGCGACCCTCTGCTGCAGCTTTTCTGGAACATTTTCTGGAGAATTAAAAACAGGAGCTGCAAGCCATCCTGAACAATGCACTCCAGGAGTGTCAATCGAAAGGGCTGACTTTTAAGTTGGATACTACTAGAAGATAGTCCAGTATTTAAAAGTTCATCTTGCATTATAGCTAAAAACATATTAGGATGGAAACACACACACACACACACACACTTCCCATTAAACATGTAGAGTCCCATAAAGTAATGTGGGCATGTCTTTGCAGGAACAGCACTTTCGCCCTTTTCTCTAAATGACAAGAATAATTGGGGCGGGGGAAGAGGACATGGCCATGAAAAGCAACAAATTTCCGAAACTCTGGTTGGGGCCTGAAGGTTATTAAACCAGGAATGTTCAGTCTCAAACCAAGGGAGACATAATGATGCAAACTGATATGGTAATATCTAGTTAGGTCCAAAGGATGCTCTGGCATCTCACATCTGTAATGAGAAAAGACTTCTCCCTCCCATGAGAAGCCAGAATCCTATCAGTAATTTGTGCAATGACAGAAATTATAAATAAGTAAATTAGTTAATTAATTTATTTATTTGGCTTTTATACCGCCCTTCTAGATGAATCTACTTTGGGCGGTTTAAATTATAGCAGCAAACAGCTGCTATTCAAGGACTGACATGCTTGTTGACTGATGTGCAATGAAGAATACTAGTAACTTACTAATCAGCAGCAATTCCCTCGTGCCATTTACACCACACTTATGCAAGTATAAATAAGCAACAGGATTCTGACCAAATTGCTTAAATAGGATTTTCACATCCTTCCCAAGCAGGTAGCATCTACAGAGTAAGGAACTTTCAACACTGAAATTACAGTGTTCCCCATAGGGAACATTGCAATGCGATCGCTTTTGCGATCGCAAAATCCGCATCGCTATGCGGATTCGTCGTTAAACGGGGCACCCGTTAAGCGAGGCACCACTGTATAGTGAACAATTAGCTGAAATTACCTATGTGCTATAGTTTCAAGGGGGTAATGAAAACCATTCCCTCTCTTCTTTCACCATTCAGTGATTCCAACAATGTATATCTATCTATAGAATTCAGATTTTTTTTTTAAATGGAGTACAGTACTTACCTGGCAAGTTTTTGGTTGGCTTTAGATTTACTTTTTAAAGCAGCATGAACTAATAACTGTGCAAAAACGTCCCTCTGGAAAAAAATTAAACAACATAATATACATTATTGATCTATAACAAGAATTTGCGTGTGTGTGAAGACTAGTTGCTAACCATGTAAATGCAAAGACAGGAGTGGTTTTCTACTGTATGACATTACAAAGTTAAGCGAGGCACCACTGTATAGTGAACAATTAGCTGAAATTACCTATGTGCTATAGTTTCAAGGGGGTAATGAAAACCATTCTATTGCAGCTGAGACTCCATAAATGTGTGGGAAGTAATTTTAAAAAGGCAGCTTAGAGGTCATTTTCTCATGACAAAAAGTAGATCATAAGGCAATAGTTCCCAACTTTGGGTAACCCAGATGTCCTTGGACTGAAATTCCCAGAAGCCTTCACCACCAGCTGTGCTGTGCAGGCTAAGGTTTCTAGGAGTTGCTGTCCAAGAAGACCTGGGTCATCTGAGGTTGGGAACCACTGTCATAAGAGATAATCTAGCTGGATAACCTGGATGTCATCACTCAATACACTTTTCTTGCTGGAAGAAGAATCTATGTCCTGTGAATTGTTTGAAAGAAGGGGCAGAATAAATATGTGTGGGTCATCTGAGGTTGGGAACCACTGTCAAAAGAGATAATCTAGCTGGATGACCTGGATGTCATCACTCAATACACCTTTCTTGCTGGAAGAAGAATCTATATCCTGTGAATTGTTTGAAAGTAGGGGCAGAATAAATATGTAGGGAAGTAATTTTAAAAAGGCAGCTTAGAGGTCATTTTCTCATGACAAAAAGTAGATCATAAGGCAATAGTTCCCAACTTTGGGTAAGCCAGATGTCCTTGGACTGAAATTCACAGAAGCCTTCACCACCAACTTTGCTGTGCAGGCCAAGGTTTCTGGGAGTTGCTGTCCAAGAAGAGATGGGTCATCTGAGGTTGGGAACCACTGTCATAAGAGATAATCTAGCTGGATAACCTGGATGTCATCACTCAATACACTTTTCTTGCTGGAAGAAGAATCTATGTCCTGTGAATTGTTTGAAGAAGAATCTATGTCCTGTGAATTGTTTGAAAGAAGGGGCAGAATAAATATGTGGGAGGGGGCAAAACAGCTTGAATTGCTGCAAGGAAAGATGAGACAAAGAACACAGCTTTTCTGAGGTTCTGTTAGAGTAAAAAATAAGCACAGGAAGAAAGGACAACAGTCAGCCTCCTTCTAAGGCACCAGCCATCTGGGTGAGAAGACCAAACATCCACACACCCCACCAGAGGACACAAAGCAGAACACTGCCATCTCCTCCTCATCTCTATCCTGCACAAAGATGCTTTCAAGCCCTTAGCATCTTCCTTTGTGGGATATCCTCATGATACATTCCTGCTGGAAGTATCCTACTGTTTTTAGTACAGTGATTCTTATGGGTATTTGTTTTTGAAAGATGAAGCTGGGTTTCACTCTGCCCTCTCTGATGTGTTCTCTCCATGTACTTCATGTACTTATGGAAGTCCTCCTTAAGGTGTCAATTGTGAACAAAACAAAGCCAACAAACAACCAAAACAATCTTTCTTCTCACTTGAGCGTTGCTTCCTCCTATTTCAACAATTCTGTAGCGAAGGGGATACAGCAATTCCACGGCCTTGTCGTAATTGCCGTTCTCAAACTCTACAAATGCCTGCAAAAGAGGTAACCCGAGTTTTGGAGCCAAGTTTAGCTCATGGTCTTCATCTGGTGCTCTAAAGAAAAGAATGAGAGGGAAGTTACAATAGTTAATTGCCAGATTAATGACTTATCATAAGGAAAGATGAATTAACAAATGAATTACAGTGGTGCCTCGCATTACGATGTTAATTCGTTCCAGTGAAATCGCTGTGGAATGAAAATGTCGTAATGCGAAAATAAAAAGCCAATTGAAACGCA